CTGAATCACTTTCTGTAAGGGTCTCTTAAGGGGAATTGTCTGTTTAACCATTTTGCTGAAAATGTGATCTCAGAAATAGTTGTACATGTATTTAGATCTGCATTTTTTACATTTTATTTATTTTTATTTTTTTTAAATGTAACAAGAACACACACAAAAAAAACATCCACTGAGAATTTCTGCTGTAGTATATGCCCTTGTGGTGTTTAGCATGTAAAGTGTATAATGAAAGTAAACATGACAGGGCCAAAGTCCATAAGTTATGTACTAAATATTTCAAGGAGCCATACATTTTTTTTGTTTTGTTTTGTTTTTTTTAACTGCATGGTTAATTTTTAAACCTTTTTGGTATACACAGCTCGAATACATTTAATACATTTTTAGTAACTGAGCTCACAACTGTTTACAATGACACTCCATTCTATGTACATTATATCTTGTCGAATTACATGACCTCTCTCTGCCTAAATGGAACACTCATATCCTAGGGTCTGTTCTAAAGTCTGCCAGACCCCTTTTGCATTGCCCAGTAATTGTAATTGTTGCATTATTTGCAAAACAAAACAGGCCTTTCACATGAGGGGAGTTACAATTAACGAAGTGTCGTAAGTGTAGTTTGGATAACATATGTACCTTACGGGAACATTCTACACACCAAAACCAGTACACTGACAATGGTTTGACTTCTTACTTTGGGTCCGCTGGAAACTCTCTTCACTGAGTAAAGCAGTGGTGTGGGGCTTTGCTCATTTGCTGAGCGCAATTGGCTGGCTCTCTTAGCCAATAAACTGGCCCTGCACAAGAGGGTGCAGCTCAGTAGAGCTAACGGAAGCTCCTTGAAAGCGCTGTTGGCTCTCACTTCTGGCCGTGAGGAAGCCGGAATGGGGGTCGGGTGCCAGTATACTCTGGCACCAAACCACTAAAGATTTGGATTTGCATATTGCAATGTCTCTCAAGCTTCCTATTATTCAAAGTACTGTAATTTAAAGTGACGCTACTTGCATGGCATTATCACATACTTTCTAGACACAGTAAAATATGTTTTTTTGGTAGAACAAATGATCTTTTAGAAAACAAATTATCTATAAAAACAAATATCCAATAACCGGTATTGATGCAAGTGTCAACTTTAGTATGGTCCGGACAACAAATTTCATAAATCATCATATAATTAGATAGTAGATTAAAACCTACTGGTTCAATACAAGAGAAAAATTAAAATGAATTCTTAAAAATATTGCAACTAGTTCATAGTATTAATCATATTAGAGATTGTGTAGAAAGAACAGATGATATTAAAAGTATATTACCCTATTAACCAGAATGGGTGTAAAAAGGAAGTGCATATAGTGAGTTTAACACACCCAAAAAGCATACCATATTACAAGGTTCCATAATAACCAATTGTCATAGCACAATGAAAATAAAGAGATGAGGTAAATATTATGAATGTAAGTTATGTGAAGGTATTTACAGCCAGGAAGAGCATGGGGGAAGGTAGGGGTGGAGTAGCAATGTGTTGAAAAGTTTAGCAACTAAATTCTATCACCCAAAATATTTACTGTGTACATGAAATATTGGTCAGAAACATTGAATGACAATAATACAAACTGCATGCACAGAAAATTACAGTGACAAACTACAGTTATAACTGGAAACTATTCTATAGTATCACATGATAATATAGTAGCAATGTAAGAATAAGTGAGGTGAAGTATCTTCCATGCTACAGTCAGTACCTTGACATTGTGGGAGTTACTGCAGGATGTTAAATGCAGAGCATCACAATCGCTGTTCCTATGAGTGAGTGTGAGATGAGGCCTTGGCATTGTGGGAGTTACTGTAGGATGTTAATGTAGAACATCACAATCGCTGTTCCTCTGAGTGAGTATGAGTGTGAGATGAGGCCTTGGCGATTTAACCTAAGAAATTTAGGCATATGTTAAATGGACCCTCACTATTTTTTTTTTTTATAAGTAGATAATGTATTGTACATGATGCAATAAAATAAAGTCAATGACTAGAAAAGAACAGACTTTATTTGCCTGCCCATGGAAAGACTCCACCAATCAATCTACCTGCTAGAGTTCCACACAGCATATGGGATTAGTGTAACTACTTTCTAAACTGGTTGGAGCAGTGATATGGGTGTTATCTGTTTTACATTAAGCCCTTTTTACTGTTTGGTAAATAGCATAGTGTGCCGTGATTTCACAACCTGACTGTGCTTGCATGCTATTTCCAGAAGACTAGATGGGTCTCTCTTTGTTTTGCATGTGGCTTGTTCATGTCATACATGCAAGAGGTACAGTCTGATACTGAAAAGTATGTCGACTCAAGTGGGCTAGCTAATAGTTCAGATGAAGTCCGAGGAAGGTGGGCGAAACGCGTCATGAGGAGATACCCAGAGCCAGGGTTGATAGGGCTCTGGTAAATGTGAGTGAGACCCCCAGACACATGTTTTTCACTATATAGATATTTGAAGAATAATACTTAAGTATATTTCTGAGTGCACCACTGTTTGGGTATTTTTATAGCTAATAGTTTATCATGGGTGGTTAAAAAAAATGTGAGCGGAAACTATGGCTTGAGAATAGCTGCAATGATCCGTAACTGATGGTAGTGATTGGGGAAGTATGGCATGAGGTGGTTTACATTAAACTGATTCTGTCAAAACTTACATTTCTCTTATGGTTTCCTCTTGCAGAATCTGTTCTTCTTTTCTTCATTTCTGATGTAAAAGAAGAACATATTCTGAAAGAGAGAGAGAAATGGAAACAGTAGGAGAAAGGTAAGTTTCAGATGACAGAGACACTTTAAGTAGTGATGGTTGTATATGGCAATGCTTGGTAAGTGAATGAAGGCAAGTGACAGGTGACCTTTGACAATGGAATGTAAACTTGCAAGGAGGGTTTAAATTATGCCCTGGGGTAAAATGTTCCCTCTAAATTGAGTTTTTTGTTATTTTTAGTTTATGTGAAGGTTGTCATGTTTATGGTGTGAGTTAAAATATTTTGGGGGTAGCATCAAATTCTGAAACAATAATTTTGTAGTTAACAGGTATCTATCTGCAACAATGTTGGATTCATAACCATAAATCCAACATTTATCATGTATTCTGCAAATATGGCCTTTATGAGTGTCAAAGACAAAGGTTTTAAGTTTCAGGAGAACTGCATTATCTCAAATGTTTGAATGATTACTTAGCTGACTGGTAGTAATGAAGTGCTAATTCAGTTAGTTTAGTGGATCCCAAACCAGTTCAATGAGATGTTTTGTATGGGATACGCATCGAAAGATATTATGTTTGTATTCAGAGCACTTCCAGCTGAGCTTTGCATGTGAAGTCCGTTTCTCTCACCAACATTTGTCTTAGAAGCTGTAGCTGGAGTTGTTGCCAGAAAGTGGAGCTGTTTTTTTTTTTTTTGTTTTTTTTTTTCCTGCTGTAGAACTTTGTTCTAAAACAAACTTTTGCTGCAAGAAAGCACGGTCATTGAAATAGAAAATGGCTGGGAAATTTGGATCCTAAGAGGCATGTCACCTCTAAAAAGGAACCCTTCTAAACATCTAAAAATTGTTCCTTTTCTACTATTGTCTAATAGCAGGAGTTCCAAATCATTAAAGAATTAAGCTTGTCAGGTATTTCTAAAAGTGTTTGTAAGTAGAAGTTTGGTAAAAGACATTCTACCTGTAAGGTGGAAACCAGGTGAGTTATTAATCAACAAAATCTTTTTTTTTTGTAAACCTAATGGTTTAGATTGGTTGTATGTGTGCACGTATGTATGTGTATGCTTTGGGGGGTAAATTCTCCACTTTTTTTTTTTTTTTAACTGAGTTAGTGTAGTTTTAAATACAGTTGGCATAGTTGATGTGGCTGAATGTACTTCAGTAGCTTTTGACACTTTGTCCTTAGTTAAACAAGTTTAAAAAAAAAATTGACGGGAGTTATATTTTATAATTCTTGTAGAATTAACTTGGGTATGTCAATACTTGTATGTGTACAGGAGATCTAACAAAGTTTGCAAACCAGGAACATGTAAAAGTAAAAAAATAAAGCAATAGTGCGTACTTCTTAATTAAACCTACATTATTGTTAAGATAAGGACAAATTATCGCATATCTGATAACATGTTCCGTGCGTCAGGCTTTGTGCCATTTTGATGGGTGGCGTTTTTTCTCAGCCTCAAAGGACAATGTCCTCTCTCTCTCTCTCTATTTTTTTTATTTACTTTTTAAGATCTACCATAAGGATGTGTACAGGAATGTCAAAGAGATAGGAAAAGAGTAGGGTTATATAATACAGAAAGGTTTATTGATCAACTCAACAGATATTACTTGAGAAAAATTGAGAGGTCGCCAAGTTTCACAAACGTGCTAGTGTTGCAGCTCACCAACCATTTAATGTTGATGCATTTTGGTTGGTTGCCTTCCTTGGGGTTATGGATATTTTTTATACATTTAGTGACAATCACTAAGCACTTTTTTTTTATTTATTTTTTTTTATAAATCTTAATTTTGCAATACCCTGTTATGTATACCAATGAATAATTTTTTAAGGAAATTAGAAAAAAATATTTTATGATATTAAAATTATTATAAATGCAAAAAATGTGTTTATTGGGGAATAACAAAATCCCAAGACTATAATGTGAATTTGATTTTACTAAATAAAAGGTTCAACAGGCAAAAGAGACCTGCAAGAGCTTAAAGAACGCAAATAATGTGACAGTATTTTAAAAGTAATAGCCACAGGAATGCTTAAGTATATAGAAAGTGGAACCCTTTTAAGAATTTCCTTAGAATAGTCTGTCTAGTTTTAGATGAATTTCCTAAGAAATAAAACCTACAATAGAGAATAGTCATTGAAAAGGTCTGCATATTGAGAGAACCTGAAAGTCCTTAAAGGTACCAAGAACCATAATTAGTGATGTGCCGAACGGTTCGCCGCGGACGGCGAACATATGACCCTGTACCTCACAGCCAGCAGACACATTCCAGCCAATCAGCAACAGACCCTCCCTCCCACCTCCTGGACAGCATCCATTTTGAATCTGCATTCTTAGTGAGCTGTCCAGGAGGTGGGAGGGAGGGTCTGCTGCTGATTGGCTGGAATGTGTCTGCTGACTGTGAGGTACAGGGTCATATGTTCGCCGTCCGCGGCGAACCGTTCGGGACATCACTAACCATAATCACAACTGCAAGCTGTAAATCCCCCACCCACCATTGTAAGTAGTCAAGCAATTTTAGAATGGGAGTAGTTGCGTTCGTGTTTAAATAATAGCATACCTATTTGCTTATTGTTAATTTAGATTGATTCACTGTTTCCTTGCTACAATAGCATATACTGCTAGATACAAAAGGACTGAACACCTTAGTTTATTTTATTAATTAATTTATTTTATCATTGAACATATTAAAAGTTAAGTTCTCCTTAGGCACTTATTGTTATTACTTTCTAAATTAAGAGATAAGTTTTAACCTTTGCATCTCTTGCATTTTTCTCAATTTAATGATACTCGGTGGTAGATTTTTTTTTTTTGGTTTGCATTTTTTTCCTCAAGTCCAATCAACAATTTAGGGTTTGTCCCTCATTTTTTTCTTTGCTACCACCATTACCCCGTTTTCACTCTAAAGGATCTATTCTCTCTAAGTAACTACTAATAGAGGAAATATTGGAAAAATAAACTGTTATCTTTAGGAGGAAATAAAATCCATAATAACCCTTGTGCTGTTTTGTTTTTATCACAATCAAAAACAGAGATTAGAAGTTTGGAGAATGCACCTGAACAGCCAATAATTAATCCAACCATCATAACCACTAGCATGTTGTCGTGATAATGATTGTAAGAATACCTTGGTGTCTTTCGTTGTAATTGAGTAAATGGTTTTGCAGCCATTTGCCTTCTTACCTGGGTCCCCGCTGAACATGGGCCTTCTGTGTAGACAGGGTTACAACATCTGGTTTCGGTAGAGCTTGCAATGCGTGATGCCAATCTGATACTTGTTCATTGTCTGAAAGTGTCAGCTTAGCTCCTTACACCCCTCCATGTGTCTCATTTCTCCCCCATCCCTCCATGTGTCTCATTTCTCCCCTCACCCTCCATGTGTCTCATTTCTCCCCCACCCCTCCATGTGTCTTAGCACTCCCCACCCCTCCAAGTGTCTCATTTCTCCCCACCCTCCAAGTGTTCTTTTCTCCCCCACCCCTCCATGTGTCTCATTTCTCCCCCACCCCTCCATGTGTCTCATTTCTCCCCCACCCCTCCATGTGTCTCATTTCTCCCCCACCCCTCCATGTGTCTCATTTCTCCCCCACCCCTCCATGTGTCTCATTTCTCCCCCACCCCTCCATGTGTCTCATTTCTCCCCCATCCCTCCATGTGTCTCATTTCTCCCCCATCCCTCCATGTGTCTCATTTCTTCCCCATCCCTCCATGTGTCTCATTTCTTCCCCATCCCTCCATGTGTCTCATTTCTTCCCCATCCCTCCATGTGTCTCATTTCTTCCCCATCCCTCCATGTGTCTCATTTCTTCCCCATCCCTCCATGTGTCTCATTTCTTCCCCCTCCCTCCATGTGTCTCATTTCTTCCCCACCCCTCTATGGGGGTCTATTTTCTCCCCCACTCTCCGCATGGTGGTTCTATTTCTCCCTGCACCCTCCATGTGTCTCATTTCTCCCCCATCCTCCATGTGGGTTCATTTCTTCCCCATCCTCCATGTGTCTCATTTCTTCCCATCCTCCATGTGTCCCATTTCTTCCCTATCCCTCCAGTGTTCATTTCTTCCCCATCCCTCCATGTGTCTCATTTCTTCCCCATCCCTCCATGTGTCTCATTTCTTCCCCATCCCTCCATGTGTCTCATTTCTCCCCCATCCCTCCACGTGTCTCATTCCCTCCACCCCAACAACTCCACGTGTCTCATTCCCTCCACCCCAACAACTCCACGTGTCTCATTCCCTCCACCCCAACAACTCCACGTGTCTCATTCCCTCCACCCCAGCCCCTCCACGTGTCTCATTCTCTCCACCCCAGCCCCTCCACTTGTTTCTTTCCCTCCCCTCCAGCCCCTCCACATGTCTCATTTTATTGCATTTTTTTATCATCACTAAAACCTGAAAATACCCTCCAGTTACCCTTAAATAACATCCTAAATAAATTTACATGACAATTGTAGTGATTGTTGATGCTAGTATGTTATGATTAGATGCTAACATTAACTTAGATGTATGTTACTCTATATCACTCTGATTGCTTTTTTTGGCTGTCAGTTAAAGCATTATGGCCACTTTGATGGGCTTCTACATTGCCTGGAAAATACCTGGTGAATATTGCTGTTACACCTCAATTGTTATGATGCTCGCAATAGCCCAGAACATTTTGAATTTTGTGTGTACCCGCTCCAGAGGTCCCCTTCAGCCTTCCAGCATGGACTGAGGTCCCTGATGGATGTGGCAGGCTGTCACAGCGATTGGATGACAAGGTAAACCTCAGAGGGTTATGTAACAGCCTAATGCCAGAGTCGTCCAGCAATACTTGGATGCATCTTCCAATGTTATAGCAATCCTTGACCTTGCCACTATCTCTGAGATCAGCAGCTCTGTTGGATTCGAAACCTCTGTTAGTGGCTTGGTCCTACTTTGTGTGCGGACTATCACCAAGAGGTTAAATTAACACCTGGGCCACTGACAAATAATGTAAACCCTTCTGCCTCCACAAATTCCATTACCTAATGTGAAAAGATTGTTCCTCTTCCTAGATAATAGCCAAGAAGAGTCTGCAGTACTTAAAATCATATTTTACCCTTTAAAATTACACAATGTTCTGGGAAGGGGAGTTAAAATCTCACCAGCATTGCAACATGTCTTCTATTACTTTTTATTTGGGTTTAATACTTTATATTTTTCATACTAAAGGTCATATTTTGTTAAGTCAAAAATCAGATACTGCTTAGGGACAAAGTTTTAAATCACTATGAATTAAAATCTAGAATTCCTCTCTAAATTTAAACCTTGTCCCCAGTATAGTACCTGACTTATTAAATCATTTAACCATACAATGTTGGCTAGTAGGCTAGTAGACTGCGAGTGTTTAGCTTGTATTATAGTAGAACCTTGAAAAATGTTCAAACACTCTTTGCAGTATTGCATACCTCCCAAGTGTCCCTATTTAGGAAAGACAGTCACTATTTTGGGCCCAAATCCCTGTGTCTTTCTTTTTTCTATTATAATGGGCCTTTTTTCTTAAAGCTTCATATTGTTATAATGATCCCAGGAATGTGTCTTTAAACTACAATAAAATGTGTTTAGTAATGCATTATTCTTGATTTTAGTTCCATAAATTATTAGTTTCACCTAAACCGGACACCACACACGCGCACACGTATGCACCCCTAAAATTGAAAGTGTCCCTATTTATCCATTTAAAATTTGGGGAGAATTGTTGGGAGATATTCATTTGGCAGGTATAGGACTGCAAACCTACCATCCTGAGATGGCTGCCATTGCAAAATGACACGTCATGTATGACTTTAAAGGTACCCGTGTTTTAATCAAACTTACCATGCAAAGTACACGTCTAACTAGGTCCGGATTCCATTGTGGCTTTTTCTCAAAATATGATGTTCCCATCCTGAAATCATCAGGCTCTGCAAGAATTTGGGCACTTGTCCATCCGAATGCATTGAATTTAATATTCACAAACATTTGCTATTCCCTTTCCTTTTTATGCATCATATTGCATCTAAGTACTTACATCCAATTTGAGCATACTCCCCCTAATATACAAGTAAAAATATTAAAGATCAATAATTAACATCTAACAGCATTTTAAATGGACAAAGAGGGACACTTTAAAGGACCACGATAGTGCCAGGAAAACAAACTCATTTTCCTGGCACTATAGTGCCCTGAGGGTGCCCCCACCCTCATGGCCCCTTTCTCCAGCGCCGTGCTTCCTTGGCGCTGGGTCCTCTCTTCCTTTCGATCGTCATCGGCTGAATGCGCCCATTCAGTCAGTCCATAGGAAAGCATTCTCAAGGCTTTCCTATGGGCGCTGGCATCTTCTCACTGTGAAAATCAAAGAGACAGCCACTAGAGGCTGGATTAACCCATATGTAAACATAGCAGTTTCTCTGAAACTGCTATGTTTACAGCAGGCAGGGTTAAACCTAGATGGACCTGGCACCCAGACCACTTCATTAAGCTGAAGTGGGGTCTGTGTGCCTATAGTGGTCTTTTAATATTAGAGATGTGAGTATGGGTGGGGCCTTGGGCAGGACTGTTATAATGTTCTGAGACATTTTAGATGACTTGCTGATGTTATCAATTAAAATGTATCTTATTTACACAGACTAAACAAAACTACAATACATATATTTATCAAAGACTCAGTAAGGTGATTATTATTGATGTAAAGCTCTATTTTTCTGTACCTGTGATTCAAGTTCTTTGTTTATCTAGACTCCTGATAAGAGGGGACATTTTGTGTATAGATCACTATGTGTGCAAACCCACTAAAATGTGTGATCGATGGCAGCCCTTAGAGATCTGTTACTGGCTCCACGCAATGGCTGTGTCCACCCTTAGAATGGACAGGCCATCCTGACATGAATGCACACCAGGCTGCCTGCCAATCAAGTAGGCTGGCAGCCCATGGATGGACCATGCAGAGTTCTAATGCCCTGAAGCTAGTGCAAGCTCGGACTAAGTTTGTTGGGGATAGTTCTCTGGTGTCACCAAAAGCAGGGCACTAGGGATCAAAGTCAGGACAGGAGATAGGACCCAAAAATTGGGACTACCTTGATGAAATCGGGACGTTTGGGAGGCTTGCATCATGTTGGAGAGAAATCTTTAAACCCCTGTATATTTGTGACATTTATATTCAATGTGGTGTGCAAGGCAGTCTGTAAGTCTCGGAAGTTATACAGGGTAAATCATATTTAAGGCAAACATAGCCATAATGAAAACAGAACTAACCAGAATAATTTTTTCCCCCTAAATGAGCAATTTTGCCCTAAACTTTGAATTCCTGGCAAATCTTCCCTGCTTATTTTTATTCGCTGAATGCAGAAGCCATCAGCCATCATAGAGCATATACAATCCC